GGGGGGGGGGGGGGGTGTAATAACGTTCTTGTCGCGCGCTATTTTGTTTTGTTCTAACACGTGCTTGGAACTTCAGACATGCTCGTGATGCTACGCTTCTAACAGGTTCTTATTACTTTAGACACGCTCGTGATGCTACGCTTCTAACAGGCTCTTGGAACTTCAGACACGCTCGTGATGCTACGCTTCTAACAGGCTCTTGGAACTTCAGACACGCTCGTGATGCTACGCTTCTAACAGGCTCTTGGAACTTCAGACACGCTCTTGATGCTACGCTTCAAACAGGTTCTTGGAACTTCAGACACGCTCGTGATGCTACGCTTCTAACAGGTTCTTGGAACTTCAGACACGCTCGTGATGCTACGCTTCTAACAGGTTCTTGGAACTTCAGACACGCTCTTGATGCTACGATTGTAACATGTTCTTGGAACTTCAGACACGCTCTTGATGCTATGATTGTAACAGATTGTTGGAACTTCAGACACGCTCGTGATGCTACGCTTCTAACAGGTTCTTGGAACTTCAGACATGCTCGTGATGCTACGCTTCTAACAAGTTCTTGTTACTTCAAACACGCTCGTGATGCTACGCTTCAAACAGACAGGTTCTTGGAACTTCAGACACGCTCGTGATTTTCAGACACGCTCGTGATGCTACGCTTCAAACAGGTTCTTGGAACTTCAGACACGCTCCTGATGCTATGTCTTGGAACTTCAGACACGCTCGTGATGCTACGCTTCTAACAGGTTCTTGGAACTTCAGACACGCTCGTGATGCTACGCTTCTAACAGCTTCTCGGAACTTCAGACACGCTCGTGATGCTACGCTTCTAACAGGTTCTTGGAACTTCAGACACGCTCTTGATGCTACGCTTCAAACAGGTGCTTGGAACTTCAGACACGCTCGTGATGCTACGCTTCTAACAGGTTCTTGGAACTTCAGACATGCTCGTGATGCGACGCTTCTAACATGTTCTTGGAACTTCAGACACGCTCTTGATGCTACGCTTCTAACATGTTCTTGTGCCAAAAAAAAGTTTTGTGAAATTCCAACACCTAAGATATCAAAACCGATACGGCGCCACAACGCCAGACACTTTTTTGAGATTTCAGAATGCAGATTGTACCACGGCCAGTTAAAGGTCGTGCGCCTTGTAGTTTATAGTGGTCTGAAAGTACCGCATGCAAACATCATCTCAAATATCTTGGTTGGGCCAAATCCAACCCTCCAAAAAACCAGGAGATGTCTGACCCAGCCACGCTCTTCGGGTGCCGTTTGCTGCGGCTCCGCCGGCGCATCCTCCACCGGCGCATTGTCCGCCGGCGCATCCTCCGCCGGTGCCTCCGAGACGGTCACAGCGGGGCCCCCCGTGGCGTCGTGGGGGGCGGCGGCGGCACGCCACTGCTCCAGGGCAGTGACGCGAAGGTCTAGGGATTCCAGGCTGGAAGCCAAAGTCCTGAGAATTGATGTGACTCAGACTCTCAGCCCTTTTACCCCATGGTTTCATAATCTGAAGACTGTATTATATATATATATATATATATTTACTAATTAAATGTATTAATATGTATGATGGGCAATGTATATGGAAATATCTATAGATTCCAATAAGAATTTCACGGATAAAACTATGAACATTGTGTAAGATGTGCATGGGTCAAAGATATTCAAAAATTGTCAATGTAGATCACATCATTCAAATCTAAGACCCAAACATCCACAATTATGTTTCATTTTTAATTTTGAAGCATCCTTTCCTTGGGTGCATAACCAAATTTTGGCCCATACGATATATAGAGCACAGCCGCAGTTATATCATAATAATTACAACAACATCAGCATAGATCCATGACCAGTAGCCATCGGGAGCTGAATCGTAGGTATCTTGACAATAACAAATGGGGAGAGGAAGGTTTGATATCCTTTCATTTTTCTTTTGACTACGGTAGGGAATTGTCCTATCGCTTCCGTATTTTGTTTCCCGTGGCCAACCCGCATCCAACTTGGCGGGTGGGTATCACTCATTGGGGCTTATTTCCATCCATTCCCATCTTGATGCTTGTGTTGGCCCCTCAACGGACGTGAATGACTGGAACATTTTCACACCCAGCTTCGGTAATCCAACCTCAGCCAAAACATCACAGAACAAATTTCGCCCACGGTTTGTTTCAAGTGTTTCCTTGTTGAAGCGAGCTCGCCATGTAAAAAGGCGCATGAAACGTGATGAAAAAAAACACACCCTCTTAAAAACATAGAAACACTCATGAATCATGGAGCACCAGCATTCTCAACCATGGATTCAGATGGATTCAATATCATTTCTCTTTCCCACCAGCCCAACAGCAGCGCAAGAAGAGGTGCTTCCAATTCTCCCTGGAACCAGGTCGGGAGCCACGACCGGAGCTAGGCACCTGGCTGGAAATTCAAAAAAAATCTGGCTGGTTAGTGCGATGCGGTGTTGCATTAGTGTTGCTACACCAACATGTTAAGATTTGGTAATTTTCACCTGCAACCCAAGGGACTCCCATCTAAACGTTTTGTAGAGCAATCAAATCGACTCAAACCGTGGTTGATCAATCCAAAATGACCTAAAAACAATGTGAGCAGAAGGGTCACTTGAATTCCCAGGACCTATCTGACCTATCTATTTACCTGTCATGTGTCTGTTTTCTGTTAATACCCTTTTTTTTTTCCCTGTCCTTCCCCCACCTCGCTCTTGGACCCTGGTGCCGGCATCTGCACCGCCGCTGTCCCGTCCGGTCCGTCGCCAGGCTGCGTGGGGTTCGCCGTCTCCGGCGTCGCCTCGGCACCGGTGCCCTCCGCGACCGCTGGGGCCAAGTCCTCGGGGAAGTCCAGGCTTTCACGAAGTACCTGGCTGTCGATATCTTGGGATGGTGTGAACCTCATAAACCTAGGCTTGGACACCGGAAGAAAAAGAAAACATCAACAAACAAATCAATCTAGAGAGTATATAGCCCCTACAGCACTTAAAACTCCACGAACATCCACTGTAACACATGCTGTCTTGAAGTAACAAAAATGAAAAAGCGATCAAGTTGCATATCAGCATTACTGGTCACCTTCCCACCGGGCACCAGGCCTCCAGTGCTTCCGTCAAGCTGTGCACCTTTCCCTCCAACACTTTCACCCTTCCCACCAGCTCCACTGTTTCCGGCGGCGCCGCTGCGTGCACTGCGGCCGCGCCCGCAGGGCCGGCTGCGGTAGCTGCCGGAGGGTTCACCACCACCGCAGGGGGGTTCACCACCAGCGCAGGGGGGTTGACCACCACAACTGGGCCATTCACCTCTGTCGTTTCCGGCAAGGCCTCGTTGGAGCCTGCCTGCAGGCTGGCATCTGTGTCAGGCACCGTAGGTGTGACGTCGGCTGGTGCGCTGGGGGCCAGCTCTGTCGTCGAGCTGGGGAGGACAGAGTCCTGGGATGCCGGGGAAGATAGGAGCAAGGCAACTGCAACATGCCTTCAACTCAAACTGCCAATGGCCATCAATGGCCCATCGCTGCTGCATGGTCTGAGTGTCGCTCATTAGTTTGAATGAAATCTATGCCTCTCTCAGTGTCGGTCCGATTGCAAAGACCACCAGTACAATCATGGAGATCAAACCACATCAGACCCAATCAAAGCAATCATGGATTGAATCAAAGCTGCCCTTACATTCACTAAAGAAACTTGGTCAATATTGGTTCACATCCCCTCCTTATCTGTCCTTCACAGGTAAATCGTTGGGGAGGTTTCCTAGTGTGTCCTAGTGTCATGTTTGGTAACCACACAGTAAGTTCACCTTCAAGCTTTGACCCGACATGACTATGGACCCAAACCCTGCCCCCCAGGCATCATCACTAATCTATCCCTGCAGCCTCAACACCGGATTATACTGGATTAATCAAAGGAAGTTTAGAAGTCAAATTTCCGACAATATGGACAGGTGAAAAGCAGAGCAGGGAAGAGGCAGAGAGAAGAGAAAGATTAGAAGAAAGAAGAGTAGAAGAGAAAGAGTAAGAAGAAAGAAGATGCTGTGTTTTTCCAATGATTTGGGGCTCCGGAGGGTCGAAAAGTAGGCTCGCTAAAGCGGCGGGTGCGGAGCCAGCTGGCCAGATGAGAGATGAAAAATTTGCACTCCGTTGTGGCGCGAAGCACATTTGGAAGTCAAAATGTACAAAACACACCAGGTTCGGACCACTTTTGGAAGTTGAGATGTCGAAAAAGTGCACGCCGTTGTGGCGCGAAGCACATTTTCAAGTCAAAATGTACAAAACACACCATTCTCGGACCACTTTTGGAAGTTGAGATGTCGAAAAAGTGCACGCCGTTGTGGCGCGAAGCACATTTCCAAGTCAAAAGTGTTAAAAACTGACGGTCTCAGACCACTTTTGGAAGTTGAGATGTCGAAAAAGTGCACGCCGTTGTGGCGCGAAGCACATTTCCAAGTCAAAAGTGTTAAAAACTGACGGTCTCGGACCACTTTTGGGGTTCAGATGTCGAAAAAGTGTCGAAAAAGTTCACGCCGTTGTGGCGCGAAGCATATTTCCAAGTCAAAA